AATGCTATAAAGCTCAGATATAGGTGAAACACCATTAACTGCTTGGATGAGTTGCAATGAGTCCGATTCACAGCAGACTCTAGGGATCTCCATTCTCCTGCATCTATAGACAGCTTCACGGAGCGCTAAACCTTCAGCAGAGAGGGGGGATCTGACGGAAAACTCCGTTGTTGAGCAGGAGATAGTCCTGTTTAGGTGAGAGATGGTCCACCCGAGTCCCGCTATCATCGATGCCTTCGTCCAAGCCGCATCAGATCTGATGATTGCGCATCGCTGGGGTAGATTTGGGTTTGGCTTTGTGAATGCAGGTAAGCCTGTAATCTTTTTCTGGCATGTTTCCCATTCTTTAGCCGCAACAATGGCCTTTGTTCTTGTCTCAGTCACAGAAATTTCTCTGTTTTCGAAGCAGAGTATGTTCCTAGAGTTCCATATCTGCCATAAAATCCATGGTGCTAAACAGCCTTTCGAGATTCCTACTGGAGGAAGACAGGTTCTGGCGCAAAGACTTGCCCAAATAACTTCTAAATCTAACAATCCTCTGAACTCAATAGGAGGGGAGACTGGAACAGTGTCCCATACTTGTCTCGCAAAATCACAGTCAAAGAAGAGATGATTAATAGATTCAGGGTTACCACATCGTTTGCAGGAACCATCTGTGTTGATATGTCGGTGGATTAGTTGCTCTCCCACTGGTAAAGCGCCATGGAGACTCTTCCAAAGGAATAATTTGATCTTTGGTGACGTGGGGAGATTCCAAACCCACTTCTTCCAATTCACCTCAGGTATTGGAGAGGTGAGCTGATTTTTGTCTGGAGGTTTGAAGTTTAACGCCGCAGCGTATCCTGTTTTCACCGAGTATTCACCAGACTGAGTTCCTAACCATATTCTCTTATCTGCAGCTCTGCTTTGACTGAGCTTGATGGTCAGAATTTGTTCAGCTTCATGGGGGAGGATTGACATGATGACCTCCTGATTCCAAGTCATACTCTCCGTTTGGATCATGTCAGCCACCGTGATGTTACAATGGATCAAAGGGGCAGGGCCCATTGGGCGCAATTGGAGATCGGGAGAAAGCCAAGCTTCGTCCCAGATGTTGATGCTCTCTCCATTGCCTACTGCCCATCCCATATTGCTCTTCAAGAGGTCTCTCCCAAGGAGGATTCCACGCCAACCGTGGGAGATCGAGTCGGTAGGTTCGCAACTTAAGAAATCATCGTACTTACAGTACTTTCCGGTTAGGATTCTGCACATCAAGCTGTCCGGGTGGTTTAGGATTCTCCAGCCAAGTTTAGCCAGGTACGCATCATTAAAACATTCCACATCTTTGAATTCTAGCCCTCCCTGTTCTTTTGGCTTAATCATTTTTGTCCAAGCGATCCATGAAATTTTCCTCTTCCCATCTCGACCATCCCATAGGAATCTGGTTAGTGCAGATTGAATCCTCTTGCACAAAGACAATGGGAGTTTGAAGCATGTCATAGCGTAGGAGGGTATTGGTGAGAGGACACTCTTGAGCATTATTATCTTCCCGGCCGTGGATAAGTGTCTGTTGGCCCAGCTCTTTGCTTTTTGTTTGATTCTATCAACAATGGAAGAGAAGAGATCACATTTCCGGCGCCCGAAGTGTTCGGGAAGACCGAGATACTTTCCAACACCTCCCTCTTTCTCAATTCCTAAAGCAGTTTTTGCGCACAGCTTCAGAGCTGATGGTGTGTGCTTGGAGAAGGTTATCGAAGACTTCTCTGCATTGATGGATTGTCCAGACGCTGTCTCATAGCGTTTGAGAATGGACCGAAGTGCTTCACTACTCTCTTTTGATGCTCGTATAAAGAACATCGTATCATCAGCAAATAGAAGGTGGTTTAGTCGGGGACACCCCCGAGCTATCCGGATTCCTTTCAAGGATCCTTCTTCCTGTGCCTTGTTACAAAGTCCCGAGAGCACTTCACTACACATTATAAAAATGTATGGTGAGAGAGGGTCACCTTGACGGATACCTCTGCTCGGTATAACTCTTCCTCTAGGCGAGCCGTTGATGAGGAAAGAGTATGTAACTGAGGAGACACATTGCATGATGATGTCAATTAGCTTATGGTGGAAGCCAAATCGCTGTAGGACAAGTCTGATAAATTCCCATTCAAGCCGGTCATAAGCTTTACTCATGTCGGTTTTCACTGCCATGGCGCACCTTTTTTCCGCTTTTGACGTTTTTAGGTAGTGTAGAACCTCATGTGTGATGATCACATTATCTGTTATTGCCCGTCCCTTGACAAAGGCAGATTGGCTCTCCGATATTAAGGAAGGCAGGAGGGGTTGCAGTCTCGAGATTAGGAGCTTAGAAATAATCTTGTAATACACATTGCAAAGGGCGATTGGCCTGTAATCTGCAACCTTTTGTGGGTTTTGGATCTTTGGGATGAGTCTAATGTGTGTCTCGTTAATTTTGGCAGGGAGAATTCCAGACTCAAAGAAGCCTTGGATTTCTAGAACAATGTCAGGTCCAATAGCTTCCCAATTGGTGTGAAAGAAGCTTGCAGAGAAGCCGTCGGGGCCGGGAGCCTTATCCGCATGAATGTTCAGAACCGCTTCCTTTATTTCTAAAGCCGTCGGGACACTGATCAACGCTGCGTTATCCTCGTCTGAAATCATGGGGGTTAGAGCTTCATTTACCACATCCTCCCTCTCACCTTCAGTGGCCGTAAACATGTGTTGGAAGTGGTCAACAATGACCTCTGCAATCTTGTCTTCTTCATAAACCATTACTCCATCTGGGTCTTCAATTACTGAGAACGCATTAACCCTCTTTCTGTTCCGAGAAATAGCATGGAAGTAGCCAGAGTTACGGTCTCCCAAAGTCAACCATAAAACTCTGCTTCGTTGGCGCCAATGTTCTTCCTCTGCAGCATATGCTGTGCCCAATTCTTCCGTAATTTTCTGGATGAGAATTTTATCATTGGTTGGGCAGGTGAGAGCTTTTTCAAGTTGATCTTTTTTCTCTTCAATGAGGAGTCTACTATTGGTATACTGCGTCTTACTCCATTCCGCTATGGCTGAGCGGACTCTTCCGATCTTTTCATTGATGCTCATGTGAGATGCGTTCTTCCACGTTTGTGCCACCAGGTTTTTCACATCTTCATTGTCTTTAAGTCGCCGGTCATATCTAAAGAGTCCTCTTCTTTTCTTTTTTCCGGGTTCAAAAAATGAGACAATGGGTTTGTGGTCTGAACCTTCATAGGCAAGGTATTGGAGTCTCGCTGATGGAAACAATTCTGCCCATAGGCTATTAGCGACTGCGCGATCAAGCCTGCAGCGGACCAGGTCATCCCCGCGTTGTCCTCGCCAAGAAAGGGGGTCCCCGGAGTGCTGTAAATCGTATAAGTCACCTTCTGAGAGGAAAGTACGCAGGTCTGTAAAAGAACCTTCAGAGCGTTCCGCGCCTCCTGTTTTCTCTGCATTGCAGGTGAGATCGTTAAAGTCTCCCGTTACGAACCAAGGAGCTTCACGGGAATCAGAGAGGGAGATTAGAGTATCCCAGAACTCTCTGCGTTTTTTATAATCCGTATCACAGTAGATAAAAGATGCATAGAAACTCTTTCCTTCAAATACAATCAAAGTATCAATATGATTTGCATTTGAATTGAGAATTTGCAAATTAACTTCTTTTTTCCATAGCAGGGCGAGTCCACCAGCTCCATGACCAGTAGGAGGTACGAGGAAGCTGTTCTCATAGAGAAGCTGCTCTGTCTTGGATAAAACGAAGCCGTCGGGGTTTTTAGTTTCCATAAGGAAGATGATGTCGGGACCGATGGTTTTCTTCAGTTCCCGTAATCTGCGAACTGTCCGGGGATTCCCCAACCCCTGACAGTTCCAGCTTACTATCTTTAAGGAACGGGAGAAGACGGATTCTGAAAATCCATCCTTTTCCTTGTCTTTTTCGGTATCATGTTACATATGGGTTGATTCTCTGAGTAATTAGTGGCACTTGACTTTGTCTCGGAATCCCGAGAGCCTGTTGTTGTAGCAGGTGCTTTGGTTTTCACATTAGCTTCAGAGTTAAGTCTGCGTCTACTGGTTGGTTGTTTGGTTTGTTGAACCCTTCTCTTCTTTGAGCAGGAGCCACGGAGTAACTGCTTTGGGCTTTGGAGAACCACACGCTTCCCGGGGGGGCGTCCCGGTTTTCTCTTAGGTGCACCTTCCACTCCTTGTATAGCCTCTGTCTGCTGAATTGGTGGCTCAGGTACCACCGGTCCAAGTCGGAGAGTCGCAGGAATCCTAGAGTTCTCAGGTGGACTTTGCTGTGCAATAGAGTTTCTTTTGAGGGATGTTTCGACCATTTTTAGAGCGTTCTCCTCAAGTTCACCATTTTCCTCTGCTTGTCGCAGCCTTTCCCTTCTGGCAGCACTCTCAGTGGGGTCCGCCACCTGGGTGTATTTGATCATTGTATCCCGTACTACTCCAAGGGCTTCATTAAATGCCTCTTGGTGGTTTGCATTCATCGAAATGGGAATGGGTAGGGGAATCCCCCTAGCTCCACTCGGCATCATGTCTTTAGAAGAGCTAGATTCCTCTCTTCGGTTACTGTCCCCATAATTTAGGGATGGAGACTTCCTTGTGGGGTGCTCCTCGTCAATGGTTCGTAGGTCACGATGTGGAGGAGATCGTAGTACAGAGTTTGATCGAGGTTGAGGCTGAGGGCTTGAAGCCTGTCGCTGTTGGGAAGTGCTGTAGTGGCTTCTTTCTCGCCATTCCATTTGCCTCTGGTTGGTGAGACTTCTGTGAGATTGGTCATGGGAGTGTCGCGATCTTCTATTATCGTTTATGTAGCGACGTGCATCAACGCGTTTGTCAAAGGGTGCTCGAGTGTGATGCCTTGGAGGGATGTCATCTCGAGCTCTCGAGGCTGAGAAGTGGTAAACCTCCGAGTTTGACTGCATCTGGCGATGGTTCGAAGCTTTGGACTGCTCTTCTTTTTGCCTTGTTGCTTTCAGTTCATGTTTTGCTACCAGGCAGTCCTTGACATCATGGTCTAGGCGACAGCATTTTAGACAATGTTTGTCTAGACGTTCATAGACAAAGGTGGCTTTTACTTCGTCACCATTAGAGTATTCGATGATGGAGCTCTTCATGAGGGGGAGTAGGGCATTGATTTGAACTCGCATTCTGATTGATAGGGGGGTGATTTCTGCTTTTTCAAAAGTACCAATGTCTGTTCCTAGTGATTCCACCGTTTCCTCTGTCCATAAGTGTACAGGGATACCCTGCACTTTTATCCAAAAAGGAATGAGAGATGGGAAGGAAGGGGACGCCGTCGGTTCCCATCTTTGAGCTATGACCATCCATTTTGCAAAGTGGAAAGGCCTTCTGTCGAGCACTGTCAGGAGATCCTCTTCCTTGTCAAATTGAAATTGGAAGAGTCCATTTCCAAGGTCCGAGCCTACTGGTCTGCCAAACTCTTTCCACATCTCAGTGAAGAACGGGATGAGGGACCAGACTTTTTGGACAGACTTGTTGGTGACTCTTCCAATGAGCGTAAGAGAGTGTTTGTGAATGAGTGTTGAGGTGTCTGGAGCTTGAACTTTGATTCTCCCTGTTCGAGGGGCTTGAGACATCTCATATGAGATTCCTTTTCCTTTCTCCTCTTTGGAAATCCTTCCTGATGTCATTTTGGTTAGTTGAGCAGAGCCTTAGTAGAGACCAACAGTGCGGTGAGAGAAGAGAAGTTGCTTAGGTCTTTGACTTTCGGAAAGGGAGGGATGTCTTCGCTGTAAACCACAGCAGAGAAATAAGGACTTTGTGACTTCCGAAATTGAGCAATTTGAGGGTAGAAAGCTCGAGGTTAGCAAGCTTTTAGGTCCTCTTGTACTGGATTCCCAGTAGCTAAAAGGTTGACTTCCGGTGGAGCAGCTCAGAGAAGCATCCAGCTAGTCGTCCGGTCACCTAGAGTCGACATGTAACTAAAATTCCGGCGAAACTGAAAGATTCCGGCGAAACTGAAGGAAGCGGCGGTCCTCCCGACCCTGGGTCGGGGGAAGAACCCGGTGGATAAAACTACAGAGTAGTTAAAAGTTTGGTGGATAATACTAGGATTGGTAATAAATTTTGAAAAACCTTAAAAAGTTGCAGAGCTTTTGTGTTAAAGAGGAAGTTTTGCAGAAGCAAAAGGGACGTGCCCTGGAGTGACCGTTGGATAACGATCTCTCTAGTCAACCGTGCCTGGGAGAAAACCTCTCTCTAACTCTCTGTGGCCAAGTGGTTTCTTTTTTTACCTTTATTACTACGCATACTCCATACAAAACAAATGTGGGGAAAGAAACTTTTTTTCTTTTTTTGAACAACTATGGTAACTAAAACGATTGTAGTCTTGTAGACTAACCGTTTATTGCTTCGAGCAACCGTTATAATTGCTTGGAAGTATGGTCCTCGTAGACTAACCGTTTATTGCTTCGAGCAACCCTCATTCAAACGAAACTCCCTGTTTTGCTATGTTAGTTCTATTGGTAGAATATTTCACAAAAATATTTAAAAACCACACCTCAAACTTAAAAGAAAATCTACAAAAATGAACCCCAGGATATAGGCCTAAGTTTTTTACATAAAATAAGTAAGACAAGTAAGATGACTATTCAAAATTTATTAGCACTCATGAATAAAAAAGACACCATTTTATAGATGAAATGTTCAGAAGTAGCGGTATTATCTTCTACTATTATATATACATAATATATATATATATATATATATATCTTTGAAATATATATATTTTCAGGTGACTTTTGCTCCTAATTTGTGTGCATGTACATTCTATTAATTGTTTTTAATGGAAAAAGTAGTTGTCTAGACTTTTTTTCAATATTGAAGTATGTGTTTAACATGACATGTATAAACCAACCATAAGTGTAACTTATGGGCTTGTGAGAGTGATGGACACGACATCCAAATTAGGAAACCTCCTATTAGATTCACAAAATAAAATTCAATACTAATGCGATGCGTGCTAATCTATCAATACAGTAAAACCTCTATAAATTAATGATAAATTAATAATTTCTATAAATTAATAAATTTTGTTGGTCTCATCTTGTACCGATACAAAATTTGAATCGATAAAATAATGAATAATTTTTTTGACATATTTATGTAAATATACGATCCCATTAAAATTATAAATTAATAATTTCTATGTATACTTATTTTATATAAATAAGAACTTATTATTATATGTTTGTTTTAAATTCAGAATATAATTATCTTTATATTTTTCTTAATACTTAATATATTTTTGATGAGATTTAGTAATAATATATCAAAAATCACATTTAAATTATATGTAACATATATTATATACACCAAATAATATAATATAATTAATATTAATGTCAAGTTTCAAAAAGTAAACATTAATGTCTATACATTAAAATAAAATATTTTTCTTATCTTAGAATAAATATATCTTGTTGACCAAAAGAGAATAAGATATTTTAAATAAAAAAATCTAAATAAGATTTTTTTTATAAATTAATATCTCTATAAAGTAATAAAATTTCAAAGTCCAACACTATTAATTTATAAAGGTTTTACTGTATATCTATTTCTTTTTTTTTTAACAAAGTGTACATCTATTTCTCTCTATATAAGGGATTGTGTTTATCCGTAACGGTAGGTCGTTTTATGAGTTTCATCACATTGATCACTATATCTCTATCTTGAAAAAAGAACGAGAAATTAAACTCTTACTGAGAAGACATAACAAGCTTAGTTTGAGATCAACTAAAAAAATTAGGAGATAGAAACATGAATTTCTCATCAGAGAGAAGAGTCTCTTGTCTTCCTCCTTCGTACGGACAACTTGTGACGATTCTTAGCATCGATGGTGGTGGGATCCGTGGGATCATTCCCGGTACCATCTTAGCTTACCTCGAAGCACAACTCCAGGTTTGTTTACTTAATTAATAAGTGTTGTTAGGATCGTCTCAAGCTAATAATCATGATTCTTGTCCAATTTTTTTATATAAAAAGTCTATTCAATAATGTAACAAACAAATAATGTTCTCCAATATATGTCTCATTTTTTTGCCTTGAAATGGAAATCTTTGTTTATATATGACTCTATAAACGGTTGTGAATATATATATTTTTTTGTTAACATATCTTATATATACAGGAGTTGGATGGTGAGGAGGCAAGGCTTGTGGATTATTTCGATGTCATCTCCGGGACAAGCACAGGAGGTTTAATAGTAGCGATGCTGACCGCAGAGGACAAAGACGTCAAAAGTGGCCACAACCGCAACCGCCCTTTGTTTGCGGCCAAAGAAATCGTCCCTTTTTATCTCAAACATTCTCCTAAAATCTTCCCACAACGGCGGTACGTGCCTTAAGCGTTTGCGTTTAATCTGATCATCATTCAGAGTCAGAGTAATCTGATAAAATTCTAAAACATGCAGAGGGGTGTGTAGTTGGGTTCAAACCATGATGAGACTTGTACGAGGACCAAAGTATAACGGAAAATACCTTCATGAAGTAATCCAAGGTTGCTTGGGAGACACGAGACTGACTCAAACTATGACAAACGTTGTCATACCTTGCTTCGACATCAAGAAACTCCAACCAGTTATCTTCTCTTCTTACCAGGTATATATACATTAACACCAGTCCATATATAGTTAACGTTACATCACGTTCATTGATTCAATGTTTCAAATATAGGCGGTGAATCATCGAGTTATCGACGCAAAACTATCAGATATATGCATAAGCACATCAGCGGCACCAACTTATTTCCCGGCTCATCGATTTACTAACGAAGACAATGAAGGAAATAAACATGAATTTAACCTCATTGATGGCGGTATCGCTGCCAATAACCCGGTAAATAAAAATAAATAAATAACCCTGTAAAAACGAAACCCTAAATATGAAACCCTAATTATAAGAATCATTCATCAGCCATGTGATGGTTTTATTTTATTATTTGCAGACGTTATGTGCGATTGCTGAACTGACAAAGCAGATAGTGAAGAAGAATCCAGCAATGGGAGAGATTAGCCCATTGGATTATACAAGATTTATGGTGATATCACTAGGGACAGGTTCAATTAGGAACCAAGAGAAGTATAATGCAAAAATGGCGTCAAAATGGGGAATGCTAAGTTGGATCTATGAAAATGGTTCGACTCCAATTCTTGATTGTTACAATGAAGCCATTCACGATATGGTTGATTACCAAAGCTCTGTCGTCTTTCAAGCTCTTCGTTCCGAGAACAATTATTTACGTATCGATGTGAGTTTCTTTCCCATGAAAATTATGAAATGATATAATATAAGTTCTTTCGATCTTGGAATATACAAATGAAATAATTTTCAGTTTAGTAATGAAAGATACAAACGTGATGACATTCGACAACCAATACTTATTATTTATTGTTTAATTTCTACTTTGAATAATTCAAATAAACATAATTCTTGGTTATAAAATTAGAAGTTAAATACATAAACATTTTGGTTTAATTTGAGTTGTTCAAAATTCAGACCTTGTATTATGTTAATCTAAACAAATGCTAAGTATTGATTTTCTTGTAAGGTTGGTTTATATGGTATTTTACTTGTACGAAACACTAATTCCACAAATAACAACAATGAGTTAGTGAAAGGTCAATTTTATTGACCAAAAATATAAAAACAAATTACATTGTTATGTTTTTCTATTACAGGACGATACGTTGAAGGGTGACTTAAGTTCAACTGACTTATCGACAAAAGAGAACATGGAAGGTCTTATTCAAGTTGGTGAAGCTTTATTGAAGAAAAATGTTTCTCGTGTCAATCTCGAAACCGGCCATTACGAACCCATCTCTGACCACGTAACCAACGAAGAAGCTCTCAAAAGGTTCATAAATTTTATATTATTAAAAGTAAAAACCATATCTATTACTTTATATAGTAATAGTGTCTTTAATCTATTAAATTTTACAGGTTTGCAAAGGTTCTGTCAGAAGAAAGGAAACTCAGAGAATCAAGATCTCCTAAACTTAAGATTTGATTTTACAAATGTACCCAAAAATAATCTGTAAAACTCATTGTTTGTATCTATTTGTGTGACTACATAGATTCTCTATACTTTGTGAAGAAAACAATATTTGTATATGAATATGATCTTATGCATACAATTTGGCTTTGTGTTTAAAACTAACAGTCGGTTGGTATCTCAGCTCCATCTATTTCATCTGTGGTTAAACCCAGGGGGGGGGGCTAGGAGATAAGGTTCGTGGTTTCATATGTTTCTGGCGTTTTATATATCTTCTAGAATGTTTAGAATCTTTTTTAAGTGTTTCTAAAAGAAAGTTTCTAAACATTCTAGAAATATACAAATATATTTGCAGAGGGAATGTAAAAGAGATTATGATAAGGAAATACTTAACGATAAAATAGAAAAAAAAAAGTACCTACTTATATAAAAACAAGGGTGAGATTCCTTTTTCACTTTGAGTTACAGTAGAACCTCTATAAATTAATACTCGATAAATTAATAATCTCTATAAATTAATAAATTTTACCGGTCCCAACTTGGGCCGGTGTAAAATATGACACAAATCGATAAAATAATAAGATAATAATATTTTCAAAAACTGTCATGTAAATATATTGTCCCATTAAAATCATAAATTAATAATCTATCTATAAATAATTTTATATAAGTACAATCTAACATTATATTGTTGGATTTATATTTACAGTAAAAATATTTTTTTTTTAACATTTCATTATATTTTCATAATATTTAGTCAAATTATAACGAAAACCACGTAACAATTCTATGAAACATAAAAATATATACTAAATAATATAATAAAAGAATATAAAAGTCAAAATTCTAAAATTTAAATAAGGTACATACACTAAAATCAAATATTTTTTTATTTTAAAAATAAAAATGCAAAAAAAAAAAAAAAAATCTAAATAAGGAAATTTTTGTAAATTAATATCTCTATAAATTAATAAAATTTCAAAGTCTCAACATTATTAATTTATAGAGGTTTTACTGTATTCCACTTCGTCTCTTTTTCACAAAGAAGCAATTAATGTTGTGAGTTGTATTTCACAAACACCTTGACCTTGGTATAGCTTCACATCTTATGCAGTCTACTTCTCAATACAGATCTTCTCCTTATTTTTTTTAAAAAAAATTTACAACTTAGATCGTCTCCTTATTTTCTTTTTCGAATGAATGTAAAATTTTATTCAGCCAAAAACCTATTTACATCAAGTGCAACTGTTTTCCTTTGTATTTAAAGAAGCAAAAAACCATTGCTAAAGTAAAGAATTATCCAGCTCCACCATGTGTTTCTTGTAACCCAAACCAAGTCATCAACCCTTCGTCAAGGTATTGTTGCCCCTTCCCTTTCACTGAAAGCAACCTTAGTCTCATTGTCTTGTCTATAAACCTCACAAGATAGCTAGTGTCCTTCGGTTGCTCTCCATGTCTTCTGGCATTGCGTTCTCTCCAGACTGTGTGCATCGTTGCTTGCAGAGCATACCGAAAGATGAAAGTATTTGTGGGTGTGAGTCTCGGATTAGACATGAGCATTTTAAGTATGTTCCAGTCTGTAGTGAAGTTTTCCTTTCATAAGATCTCAAGTTAGCTGCCCGACAATTAAAGAACAGATGGTAACACGATTCCTGCTCTTCATTAATCTTACAAGATATATAACTATACGTTTCAGATAATTTTTGGCCTCTTGGGTCTTTCATGAAACTAAAGTATGCAGTACTATAGCGGATCTGACTATCGCATGGAGTATCTTTTTTAGCGTAAATAATAACTGAAAGAATACAACTTCAGTTTTTTGTGTTTATTCTCTTTATCAGCAATATAATTGTCTTCCCCTTAATTTATGATGTCTCAGCAATGTGATTTTGGTTTACACCAGCAACATGGGCGATCCATCAAAATATCATCTCCGACTTTGCTTTGAGCTTTTGTGGATGAAAAAAATAACAGGCATTGAGTAGAGTATTGCAAAATACCATCGCCATCTTAAATGAGGCTATGAGTAAATATCACCTTCTTATTATTACTCTTGCAAATTATTTCAGCTTCTAAAAGCTTTTCTTGCGTCTGCTTAGAGATCAGTGTGTTCTTTTCCTTTAGATTGTAATCATTAGGGGTTGATAAAAAAAAAAAAGGATTGTAATCATTAGGGCTACTTCCACATTTTTGATAGTTGCTGGTTTATGTTTTAGGATTGTACATATAGATTCAAAAAACATTTAATTTTTATATTTTTTATAGAAAACATCATTAACAATTTAACTAAACACAATTCGATCAATAATAAAATAGAGTGCAGAACACAAATGTTCATATAACACAAAAAAAATAATTTGCCATTAACAATTGAACTGTCTTATTTTCTCGACTTTAATATGCTAATTAAGTATATAAACACCTGAAAATTATTTTTTTTAACAAAAATCAAACTAATTTCCTTACGGGTAAAAACCACAGTTTCTTTTTTTCCCTCGTCAATGACGTGTCATTCCCATGTTTGGACAGTATCTAGTAGCATTCTTGTTTATCAGTTGCAAACTTTGCTGCTTTTCCACAACGGCGCGTGAAAGTCCACGTCCTTCATCTCCGTCATATGGGACCCACCCACGACACAATTCTTCCGGTCCCTCTTCTTTCCCTCTCCTTTCAACCACACCCCAAACAATTTCATTCCTCCACCTACCCCCTCCTCCTCCTCCACGTCTCCGCCGCAGTCCCTCTCTTCCTCCGACGAAGAATCTCCGGTTAAATCCGGTTTATATTCCCCTCTTTTAACCATCTGATCAACCTCTTCTGGTCCTACTTTCATTTGCTCCGTCAAGAACGCCACCAGCTCATCGCGCTGCCTCTTCGCCGCCGCGAGCTCCAAGCTTAAACTATCGTTCTCACGTTTCAGCTTCTTGTTCTCTCCGGATAGATCAGCAACCATGTTCTCCACCGAACCAGGATTCTTTGACCCGGGTGATGACGTGGAATCATCACCCGCCGAGTTTGACTCTGAACCAACGACTACACATCTCCCCGCCGCCTTACGCCGCCGTATCTCCGACAGCAAGTGCTCTTGTCCTCTCCGGAAGTTGTCGTTAGCGAACTCCCATTTGTCCGGTACAGTTTTCCGGAAACACTACAAGATAAAAAAAAACAAAAATCTCTTTTTTTTAAACATAAATAAAAAAAAAGACAGAACATAACATATGTTTTTTTTTTTTTTGAATTATACAGAGGTATCCTGGCCTCACAGAAGTGATCCAGACTAGTCACGTGTTGCCACGTGTCGGTCCTCTGTCCTTGGCGATGCCGAAATGTTAATTTTCCATTGGCCGGGATTCGAACCCACGTGTCGGTCCTTTGTCACGTTTTTTTTTTTGCTAGAACATAACATATGTTTGGTTTTTGTAACTTACGTAAGTGTTGAGCTGGCGAATGAAGCTTGAGAAGTTGTTATGTTTAAAGTATGTAGGAAGAAGATCTTTAGCAAACTCAGCTGTTTCCCAAACGATGAAAGCTGTTCCATCTTCGGTCCATGAAACGACGTCGTCTGTGGTGTGGTCATCCACTAGCTGATACGTTTTGCTTAAAAACGGCGACGGAACAGTTCTCTGCCCCGCCGTCATCACCGGCTAATTTTTTTTAAATAAAAAAAATAATCTAGATATTGGAAACTGAAAATTGGATCAAATTAAGTTTTAGCAACTAAAGAGCATGAGAGCAGTGAGAAACTCCCAGTCCCAGGCTCCCAGCAATAGAAGCCTGAGAGAAAGACAGGGGAACGAAGGAGATCGGAGTTTCTTTTAGTTTCTTCCATTTAAGGAGTGATCTTTTGGAGGAGGAAGATGGAGACGACGACCATAACTCGCCGGAGCAAATCCCTAAGATGTAAGATTAAGCCTAGTTTAAGTGTTTTTTTTTCTTGAGGTGTCAATTAAGTAACGCAATAACGCATGAAGCTTTATAGTTGCTACTGCTGGTTCTAGAAATTCTGAGACAGAGCTTTTCGTTCTTCTCTTTTTTTTTTTTTTTTTTTTTTTTTTTCTTTCTTCTCTTCTTTTATTCAAAATATTCAAAAAGTCTTCTTTTTCATCTTTTGAATTATGTTTTCATTTGACCCAAAAAAGAATAATTATGTTTTCATTTTCTCTTCTTTGAATTTTTTTTTCTCTTAGAATACCAGGAAATGATGCCGTAATAAGTTAATTTTTGTATGTAACTGATGTCATTCTTCGAAATTCTGCAGAATTTTAGTAATTGCTAAAAACAACATATGTTGAATGTACAATTTTTAAAAATATGCACAGGAAAATTACGAATATATATATATATATATATATATATTATATATATATATATGTTATTCTAGAAAGTTTATAATTTAGCACATGCAAATGTTTTTTCAAATACGACGGGAGACAACAAAATGCGACTTCGTTTATTTGTTTGTGTCTATCATATTTCTTTTGAATATTTTAATGTATTCACCTAACACATTTCAGTTTCATTTCACATTTGGGTATCAATGAGTTTTGTTCACCTTTTATTTTCAATGTGTATCATTATGGATATTATATCATAACAATTTCAAGTTTTTTAGAAAGATAACAATTTTAAGTTCTTACAAAACCATCTACGTCTTCGTTCTTGGATTTATTTTCAACATGTACAATTAGGCTTTTATCCGCTTTATCATTGGTACCACGGCTAGATAACTATAATCATCAAGGAAAAATATCGTATATATAACTAAATAAGGTATAATGGTAGTCGGCAGATATTAGTTGCATGCCTGCATGGTTAGATGAATGCATGAATCTAATTTTATATTAAGGCACACAATTACGAACCTAAAATATAAGTTATGTGGTCATAGAAATCCTAATTAGTGCATGGTTCAAATTGGTAATATTGTGGATGGAAAATATTTAAAATGTAAGTATTAGCACAATGTTGTATAACTAAATTATAAGTATATGTTATAATTGTTGGAACTGCAGAATTATTGAACCAAGAACCTAGAAGACACTCTGTAGTTTGCAACTGATAAAAATCTTCAAACATTAAATGAAGTTGTAGTTTAAGTCCTTTATGATAGTTTTGAGCCGTTTAATTAGATTCTTCTGTGGAAAGTTCCAACTCATTTCAAGGTTGTGGTGACAATGACATGAGAAAAATGACCACTTGGCCGAAAATCATCTCAAGCAGACTAAATGCTTATATCTACAACACTGAAAGAAAATTAAACAATATACTGCGAGAGAATTATTGACACGTGTGTAGAAACATCGATTTGAAACGTAACTCTTTCATTTCCCACAATTATTTTTGATAGAACTTATTTAAAGATGAGTCTGGTTATTGTATAATTTGCCTTTGTTGAGCATTATAATATTTTGTGTTCCACTATTTCCATCATAACTTTGTAACTTGCTTCCCCATATTCTCATCTTAGATTTTGAGTCGATAAAACTGTTCATGAACACATTCAAAAATGCAATATAAATAATAGTATAATGTATGTTCTTATAACCTCTCAAACAAAGTGGTCCAAAAAAGGGATATAAATTGCAATCTGATAAGTCCTTCGGTGTAATAATTATGTACTGTATGTCAATGCCATATGATTCACGTCATACGTTGCCACTTTTCTCACCTCAAACACAATTGATCAGTTACACGTTCCAGAATTTATTTGGGCACCACCTACACCACCATTGGTCAATCAAATGTTCCAACAACCCGATTAAGCAAAATACAAAATTTCTCTTAAGAGCTTGATAGCTAGCTTTAGTTTTTCTCATTCTCCATTTGCATCATGTAGTATTCACTCGAGTCTTGGGGCCCAATTACAAAAATAGGCCCCGGCCCACCTTAAGAACATAAAACAAATATATATAAATCAAAACTCTAAACTTCTATTGCAGTCAGAGGTTCTACGAAGTGTACATGCAAGCAAATCTATATAACAAACAAAAAAAATTGCGGGAAGCTTGTTTAACAGAAAGAATGAACTTTATCGAAAGGACAAAAAGTCTATCAGAATGGTCACATGGAAGAGTTGTGACTTTTATGTACAGAGGATCTAATAAAAAGAGTAGAAGATAGCTTTTTAACGGCAGTTAATTCTGTTATTTTTTTCTCTATTTACTGTTTATTTCTCCCCAATTTAATATTTAAAAAATAAAATTAATTGCCTTTTTCTCTTTTCGATCGGACAAGCCACGACATTTGTCTTAATGCCAACAACGAAACACACACTCTCTCTCTTCTCTCAAAGTTCTCTCACACCTTTTGAGAGATCATCTTCTTCATTCTCTCTTTAAACACTTTACATCACTCTTCAAAGTTTTGTTTTGTTTCTGGAGACACAACATGAGGAAGACATCTCTTTCTTCTTCTTCTTCTTCTAACACCTTTGGTGGGTTTCTAAGTCCCGGAGCTCCGAGTTATACCCATACCAACAAAGGTTGGAGCTCCGAGAGACTCCCACATCCTCCCTCTAAGTCCCCAGCACTAAACGGCCTCCCTCGTCGCCGCATCGGGTCCACCTCGGCTTTAACGACGCCGTTTTACAGCGGAAGATCGATACCTTCGAAATGGGAAGATGCTGAGCGGTGGATTAGTGTTAGCTCTCAGTTCTCCAAGCAGAGACGGGAGAAGTCTAAGAGTGGTCCCATTGTTCCTCCTCCGACGCTGCCGCGTCAGAGGATGGCGATGGAAGCTCCTCAGGGGAGTGTGAAGAAGGGCTTCACGGTGGTTGGCTCGCCGTTCTCGACGGGTGTTTTGGAGGCGGAGAGGGTTTTTAGAGGGAGTGTCGGTGGTGGACATGGACATGGACATAGTCAGAGCTGTGCTGATTTGATTAGTGATGAAACTTCTTCACTTAGCTCCAAAACTGATATTGGTAATAAATAATAATAATAATAACAATAATAATAATAATAATAATAATATCTCTGGATCTTTGATTCTTGTGGAAATTATGGTCAAGGATCTGAGCTTTTGTTGATATAAATCTATGCAGAGGAGAAAGGAGAGGAGACAATTGTGGTTACAAGAAGAGATATAGCAACTCAGATGACTCCTAATAATAATAATAATAATAATAATTACTCTTCTCAAGAGTTATCTCCACCATTGGTTGTGTCTGTGGTTGAGACTGATAATCATTGTAGAGAGGTGAAGATGGATAAAGGAGCAAGGATGATAAAGCGTCCTAAGAGACGAGTTTTGTCTTCTTCTTCTTCTACTAGGATTATAAGGAGGGATCAGCATGAGGTTGAAGACAACCCTAAAGCTTCTTCATGGGATATCTCAGAACCAGCCATGACTCTTTTTAAGTAATCAATTAAAGACTTTACATTTGTGTCTTCTTCTTGGTCAGTTTGTTTAGTGTGAATGTTTTGTAGGTTGCATAGAGAAGAAGCTAAGATAGCAGCTTGGGAAAATCTGCAGAAGGCTAAAGCAGAAGCTGCCATGAGAAAACTTGAGGTCCTTACTTTAAACTTTATGTACAATAGCTCCTCACATAGAGAACATGAGCAGTTAGGCCTTGCGGATTTGGCTAGTTCGGTTTAACATAAATCTTGCATAATTAACCTAAAATAAAGTTCGGATCGGTAGTCGATAGTTCGGTTTTTAATAATCCTACCTATGTTTTAGATTTCAGTTATATTTTGGTTTAGTTTTGTTAAAATTTTGGACAAAATAGATTAATTTTAGTTAGATTCGTTTATATTTTTTGTTTAGTTTTATTAAAATTTGGGATAAATTCGGTTAATTTTAGTTAAATTTGATTAGTTCGGTTCAAAATTTGGTTAATTTTATTCGGATTTTTAGTATGGCTTGGGTATAATTTGTTTTGATTTTTAATAAGAAAACCAAAGTAACCGACTACCTAATCGAACTCCAAAAACTAACCAAAAAAATTGGTTCTGTATTTGAATATAGATTGTGGTTTGAATGACAGGTGAAGCTGGAGAAGAAGAAATCAGCATCAATGGATAAGATCTTCAACAAACTTCAAACAGCTAAGTTGAAAGCACAAGAGATGAGGAGAAGTACAGTCACCAGTGACCATCATCAAAAAGAACAACAAATCTCTAGGAACTCAGCCAAGGTCACTCATCTTGTCCGAAGACATACGTTCATGACACCTTTCATTACTTGCTTTGTTCCTCGTGTTGATTGCAGAAAATCTTCATCTGCTCTCTAAACTTTGTTTCTTTCTAAAAACACAAACAAATGTACACTGCAAATGTTCTTGTAAATCTTCTTATATGTTTCAACAACACAAAGCAGGTTCACCATAACAAGTAAATAGTTAAATGGTATCTGACAAGTGAAGCTTAATACAAATGACAAAGCAAGAGCTAATGATAATGTCTTGTCTTGGTGGCATTAGTATGGTCGGTACCTCCAGTCTGATCTTGATGGTCTTGCACTCGGAACTCCATATCCCCACTAGCAATATTCAGTAATAACAACGAAATGAATCAAAATCATATTATATAGATATAAATAATCTTTTACATTAGTTTACTTACATCATCCAAGCTCATGCCTCCTCCATACATTCGACCAAAACTACGCACTGGACCTCCACCAAAATATTCAGGACGAGAAGAAGAACTTCCACCAGCATTACTAGCTCCACCTTCATCAAGAGGTGTTGCTGAATCTATTGCTACCTAAACCCGAAAATCAAAACGTTTTATGTATAAACTTTTAAACATTTTAATTATGTAAAATCCTTTCTTTTTTATTTTACCTCTTGTCCACAGATTTCATGAGATCTTCTAGCTACACGATCTGCAACACCGTTTTCAGCAAAGGTAACGAATCCGAAACCTCTATGTCCACTTCTCTTTGGATCCTATTAACCAAAAAGATGAATGTTTAAACATGTTCTTAAGATGTTCTCTCAGTAACTTATAAACTCTACCTTTGGAATATATGCATCTTGGATACGGCCAAATCTTCCAAAGTAGTCACGGAGATCATCAACGGATGCTTCTTGAGGAAGACGTCCAATAAAGATTTTATTTCCTATTCCTCTAGTTGGTTCAGCTCCTAAGTCAAAGTCAAGATTCAGTTTTAAATATTTTGATTATTCTTTTTGTTTCTAATTAGTATATAGTGAAGTCTTACTTCCATAAAAGGAGGCTGCATTGTCATACAAAGTAGGAGCACCGAGAGCTGCGTATCTTGTAGCTGCAGAGATGTAAGCATCATAAGCTCCATAACCACCTGGAGCTCCAAATCCACCTGCAACAGCTGCAGGTGGACGCTGCATTCTAGAAGCTGAAGGTGGTGGCCTAGGAGGATCATCTTCCTTTGGTGTTGCTCGATCAACAGCAACTGTTGTGCCTCCTCGATCATGTGTGTCTTCCATCAGATCCTCCACTGAATCTGAAATCACAAAAAAAAAACAGAAGGTTTCTCCTGACTTCAAAATTTTTACAAACAAAGATAAAAGATGAACTAAAACTGTGACAGTTTCTCAACTTTTTTTTTGTAATTAGTTTGATGATCACAGTCCAAAAGAAGGTTGTGTCATCAGTGTTCTAATAATCCTCCATAGTTCAAATACAATAAAACGATTATAAAAAAATTGGCCTAGATATTTCTGCCTAAATAATAATCCTTCATAAAACGCCTAATAGCTGCCTAGAGATTTCTTGAACTCATTAACAATTCAAAAGGATATATAAGCAAAAAACTGACCAGAAGTAGCGAATGTGATAAATCCAATTCCTCGGTGTTGCTTTGAGTTGTGGTCCTAAAATAGAAAATGATATCAAATCCAGGAGGCACGACAAGCTAAAGAACTGTGCTAACCACAAACTCTTCAAAGTGTTGACTATATAATGTATCAGCCACAGAGTTAGATAATGAAAGATTACCTTAGGCATGTATAAGTCAGTTATTTCCCCATACTTCTCAAAATGTCTGCATAAGAGTACACAATGAATGCTCATTAGAAACCATTCTCACAAAAGCAAATGGGATTGTTTACCTTCGGAAATCTGATTCAGAAACTGAAGGAGGGATACGAGCAACAAAGATCCTCGTCACCTTCTTTGCAGGCTGTCTCATCTCTTCCTGGCACAATAACATAAAAACCTCATGAACTAATATATTACATGAGAAAATGTCTCATAAGATTAAAGAACAAATGAGACTAACCTTTGGTGTAGCTACTTTGACTTCCAAGATTCTGTTCCCTAAAAAATGCTCACCTTTCAAAGCTTCCTACACGTATTCAAACAGTAAGAGAGATTATACCAAACAACCAATGCAACTAGTCATTTTCACCTTAGCATCTTCAGAAGAATGAAAAGTGACGTATCCAAATCCACGAGATCTTCCAGTTGAACGATCCTAACACACAAAAACATGTTCAGATGATGTTTGTAATTGAAAAGAAAAAGAGTAAAATTTAAAAAAAAAAAAAAAAAAAAGCAAACACACCTTCATGACAATACAATCCTCCAAGTCACCAAATTTAGACATGTAATCCTTAAGCCCATCTGAATCAATCTCCCAAGGGATTCCCAACACCTACCAAGAAACCATTCAAATCTCACAAAAAAAAAAAAAAAAAAGCTCAATGTAAAGAAAGAAACAAAGGACCAATTACCACAAGCTTCCTTTCCATCAGATGAAACTAAAGTATAGATCTGGAGACGATTTGAAACCCTAACACACTCACAAACCCTCTCTCTCTCTCTTCTCTCTCACCACTTTAAATCTCTCTTCTCTCCTCCTGCAAACCACAAGCACATCTCTTTCTCACACACACACAAAGATTACATCATCAAACACTAAATCATCGTTTTTGAGATTATAAGGATCCTCTCGAATAAGAAGAAGCTCAATAATCCTTAGATTCATTGCCAAAAATTTCGAAAACTGACTCACACACTGACCTTTCAAAACTCTCTCTCTCTCGCTCGATAGTTAGCTCTCTTCCCTCGACGAAATTCAGACAGAACCTTTTTTGTCTGGTTTCGAAACTGAAACTAGTTGAGATAGAATGTTCACCGTGCTCCGCGATTGGTGACACGTGTTTATCCACAACAAGCCCATCTCGTTATGTTTAAAACTTTGGGATCATTGGGCTTTAAAATATTTGACTTTGTTTACTAGAACATTATTAACATGTGAGCTATGCTCTTTGGTTACTCTCTCAGTTACTGGTTTTATGGTTTAGGTTCGTTGCCTTTGCAGATGAAAGTCAGATTTATCAGTAAATGTATGTTTCTTTGCTTCCTCTTCTATGATGCCTAGCCGGCTATTATGATTATGGGTTCAAAGCTGGTACGTAGTTTTTTTATGAGCATTCAATGTGACATATTATTGACATCTTTTTTTCATGGTTCTAGGTTCTTTGAAAGGTGAAAATGATTGCAAATATTCAAATTGTAGAGAGAAAACACCATAGAAAAAGTTAGTTATACGTTATTATATTGGATCACACGGGCCAAACTTACTCAACCACTTTTAGTCATCCTAGAGAGTTTGATTTACCCTCCACCATACAACAAATAAGTATGTATTTGTTCATCACTTGAATATATCTTTTCATTAGTTCAAAGTATTTTTTTGGTCACCAATCAAGTATTCCTCGTTATATTATAAATAAATGATTGTACGGGTCACAATTACCTTGTATGATAAAATAAATATATTAAGATCATATTACACAGTTTTGGTAGACTGGATTCAACCTCTTGGTGATAATGATGTTAAGGCATGGATATATACATGATACTGATATCATGTGAGCTGCTCTCCCTCATTTTCACCTCTTACATTTTAATTTCTCAGAGCATTAGGTTATATATATAAGCTAAATACATGTTTTTTAATTCATGATTGTTTAGTTTCTTTTCAAACCTTCTACGTATCTGAAATACTTTTGAATAAACACGCATACAATTATAATTATAATTGGTGAATGTTGGAGCATTTAATAATGGTAAACAGTTGATATTAAAATGATAAAAGATAAAAGTTGTCACGTAAAATGTTGTCATTTTAATCACTTAGCCAATACTTGGGGTGGAAAAAAAATCAAATGGCCGCATCATAACAATGTTCGTGTGAAGGAGCTAGAGTCATTTCAACCGTTGTTGGTCTTTCTTTTATTTCAAGTCATTTTCTTTTGGTTTTTCATCCAATTCACAAGTTTAACCCATATGACCTAAATCTGTACTTATAAGTACAAATCTTGTTTAATTTGGGTTAATTACACCATTGTTGGTACTCGTTAACCACCATACCTCATAAAATAATACGGACCTAAGTTTAATTTTCAATTTAGTTTGTTGGTAAGTCACGAAACCTTTGACTATAAGACATTGGAAAAGTGTTAGATACCTAAATTGAGATTTTTGGTACCTAATTAAATGATGACATGTCTTTAAATTTCTTATCACACCATAATTGTTAATAGCTTATCCATTCTTAGCAGAATGATGAGAGTGATGGTGGTTCATTGAGATGTGGTAGAAAAATCAATATGTGTAATAGAGATTCTTAATTGTTTTGGCACCGAGTAAAGTCTCATCAAACCTGTAATGCACAAACTCAAAAGCTTACGTGTGAAATGTTCCAAGTCGAATGATTTAGCAGATGGTAAAACACAGATTGTTTTTTCGTTTCGGTTTAGTTTTTGGTTAAAGTCAACCGACTAAACATGTGGCGAGATTTTGCTTAGAGTAAGAATAGTAGACTACTCGAATTCTGTTGGTTTAAACATAATACTTGGTTTAGGCCCAATAGAATTCAGTTGATCAAACTGGCCGGTTGAGAATTAAGAAATGCAATAAGATTCTTTCACATCATATCAATCTATTGCTATATTACATCTTTTTCTTTAAGCATAGTCTAATTCGTGGACACTCATTCATATGCATATAACGCCGATTCTCCTAATAATTTAAGCAAAAAATAATAATCCAACATGGTATTATTATGTGTGTATGTGTCTGGACAAGAGGAAATGTCAACAAACGATGACTCGGTCTAAAATACATGACATTTCTATGCAATACAACAACAAATCCACATGGGAACGTTGGAGAATAATTTTAAAATAACAAGTACATGATTAACAACCAGTAAATAAAATTTAAAATAATCATCACTTTAAAAGACCAACAGAATCCGAATAATAAGAAAATTATTTTAATCAAATAAAATTCAAAGAAAATTCATGTTACAAAAAAAAAAAAAATCAAAGAAAATTCAAAAAGTAACAAGAGTGTCAACCAAACCCCATGTTTTAATTAAATATCATCATTAATCTCTCTTGGAAAAAAAACCTTTGCATTCACTTCACCTCTCTCCCTCTCTCTCGGCAAAAATGGAGGTATGTGGGTTGCTCTGTTCCTCTTCATGGTTTCCATAAACCCTAAAATCTTTGTTTCTTGAAATGCAGGGCTTTGATTTCTTCACCAAACGCTTCTTCCTTCTCATGATCACAGCCTTATGTTTATCATCTTTTGTTCTCAGTCTCCAGGTTATTTTCTTTCTCTCTACGCACTCCCTTTTGAAATCTTATAACATGTTATCAAGAACTAGTAACAGAGATTTTGACTTTGACTATGAGATTCACAGTTGGGAGAGACATGTAGTGCCAGCAGCCGATGCGACGCCGGTTTAAGTTGCCAGAGCTGTCCGGTTAACGGTAATACCGGGTCTACTTGTTCCCGGATCCAACCTCTAAACCCGACTTCCAAGGTTTGATATTTCAACTTCTTTACTGTTCTTTTTCAGTTTTAGTATTTTTCTTGTGAATGATGATGAATAGAATGTATGTGGTTTTGATGATGAGTAGGTGAATGGTTTGCCGTTTAACAAATACTCATGGCTAACAACACACAATTCTTACTCAATCACGAGTGCAAGATCAACAATTGGCTCCTTCATCATATCTCCAAGGAATCAAGAAGACTCCATAACCAATCAGCTTAAGGTCTCCCTCTCTTCATTCTCTTTTTTTTTTTATGACAAGTTCCGTATTAGAACTTTTCTTTGCTAATTTAAGAATCCGACTTACTTTACAAGTTGTTGTTTCTTAGGTTAGAATAAAAGACAATGTCAGCTTTAGTTGGTGGCTTTTGTAGTGAAAATCTTTTTTTGATGAAAGATTAACTTTATAATACTTTTCCATATATAACAACTAAGACCATCTCCAATATATTTTTGATATTTTTCCTTCTTTTAAACTAGGGAATATAATTTACTCTAATTTATAAAAAAAAAACATTCCTCAAAATATAGAGTAAAAAATATAGATTGCTGTATTTAGAAGGAAGAAATAGAAATGAGTTTGAGTAGTTTTTACTCTAGATGTTATAGTAGTCTTTTTATTCTTTGTTGTTGCAGAATGGTGTGAGAGGGATTATGCTCGATGTATATGACTATCGGAACGATATATGGTTGTGTCATTCAGCAGGAGGGACTTGCTATAACTTTACAGCCTTTGTAAGTTACATTTGAATTAGCTCAAGAGATCAGTGACTTTCTTGAATGATAAAGTTAGGTTTTAACATGTATTAATGGTGCAGCAACCAGCTGTTAATGCACTCAAAGAGATCAATGTCTTTCTTGAATCAAACTTATCTGAAATTGTTACAATCATCCTAGAAGATTATGTTAAATCTCCACGGGGCTTGAGTAAGGTATATACTACATTTGTCACATAATGTTTTAATAGTTTCTATATATATATAATGCCAAGAATTAATCATGTTCTTTCTTGTGATGAAGGTGTTCAAAGCATCTGGATTAAGTAAGTTCTTGCTCCCGGTTTCAAGAATGCCTAAAGACGGTAAGGACTGGCCAACGGTAGATGAAATGGTTAAGCAAAACCAAAGACTTGTGGTTTTCACTTCCAAGAAGGGTAAAGAAGCTGAAGGTTTTGCTCACCAGTGGAATTACATGGTTGAAAATCAATGTGAGTTTCTTTTCTTGAGAATCAAACATGAATATCTTGATTTTGTGACCAGCCTTAACAAAACTTTAGTATATATGTAGATGGTAATGATGGAATGATTGATGGATCATGCTCGAATCGAAATGAGTCTTCTCCATTGGATACAAAGTCTCGTTCTTTGGTACTACAAAACTATTTTATAACCAATCCTAATGCAACGAAAGCTTGCGCGGATAATTCATCACCGTTGATGAAAATGATGACAACTTGTTATGAAGCAGCTGGTAAAAGGTGGCCTAACTTCATTGCGGTTGATTATTACCAGGTGCTTAACATTTTTGTAGAAATGATATTTTACAAGCTTTGTTCCTTTTTTTTTGTGTTAATTGAATGTTTTAATCGCAGAGGAGTGATGGTGAAGGAGCTGCAGATGCTGTAGATGCAGCAAACGGTCGTCTCACATGTGGTTGTGATAGTTTAAGCCTTTGCAAGGTATAGTTACATTACTATACATGACATTCTTTTTCCTTTAGATTAGTTTTTTTTGTTACATAACATTTGAGATAATGATGAATGTGTTATGTATATATTGTATAGTCAAACGCAACTTTTGGAACGTGTGATGCTCCTCCTCCTAAGGCGGCTCCAAGACCAGCAGCAGGAGGAGATTCGAGTGATCTTCCTTCGGGTAGTGATGTTACTAGAGCAACTGGATTGTCATCTCTTGTTATGATCTCTGTGGCGACTCTCTTGTTGTGGTGGTAGTTTGTTATTGAGCTAATATTTGTTTTAATGGCACAAAAATTATTTAATTTTCCGACATGAAATGAATATTGTTATGTAACGTGAAAAACAAACTGAGGTGTGTTGTTGATTATAAGTCTTCTGATATAATGTTGTTTTGTAAAAAAAAGTTAATGGACTTATAAAGTGGCAAAGCTGTGTAACATGTATATTCAAAGTATTCAGACACACACCAAACCTGACAAGTGACAACACGTTGCCATTGATTAAAAAACAGGTTTGGTTCTTTAACTGGCTATAGCTCTTCCCTAGCTTTCATCTTCATGGCCACAAGAGAAAAAAATAAATAACAAAATCAGTCAGAAAAATCCTCTTTAACAACTATGTTTTTTAACATTTCACTAGCTCTTGCAACACGTCGAGGACTTGTGGTTAGGGCTGGGCATTTTATCCGTTATATTTGATTCGATCCGTTATTTGTTTCGATTCGATCCGAAAATTTCGGATATCCGTAAACTTTCGAATCAAAGCAAATACTAAAACTCAATATCCGTTAAAATCGAAGCAAATCACAAATATTAAAATTGTGGAAAGCGGATATCCGATCCGATCCGTAAATATATAAATATATGTATATTTTGATTATATTTAAAATTTTAATTGTATAAAATTATATAATTATTAATTTAGCACATGATTTTGAACAATTCTATTCAAATTATTACTTATATAAAAGTATTAC